ATCTAATTACCCTCAGAAAGGATGCTGGTTTTTTTTTGGGGGGTAGTCGAAATTGACAAGTCAACCGAAAGCCTCTTTATTCCCAATAACATGTTTAATAATTAAATACAATGTTTCTGTTCATAAATGGAGTTATTTTAAAATAGAATTGAACATCAAAATTAAAAGTTCAGCCACTGAATTTAACTCGCCGTGTGCGCACCGCGGGGAAAAAAATCACACAATTTCGTAAAACACATAAACATCATCGAAAACCGCTCTGCGGATAGGCCGGGAATGAACAGATTTAAATGAGCGCCTGGAAGCCAAAACATTTTAAAATAATCAAATGTGATAAAAAAAAAAAAAAAGACCCCAATGTCTGGATTGTGCTTTCCAGTATTCAGTTTCAAAAAGTTCTGTCTTATGCAATTAGATGTAATGAGTTATTACCGTGTCTGGGATTTATTATAATAAGGGGAGAACTGTGAGAGGGGCGCAATTGAAACGACAAGGCCCGAGTCCTCACTGAGCAACCGCAGACGCGTGATGGCGGTGATGGAAAATTCTCGCCTTTCTTTCTGATTCTCAGAGCGGAATTACAAAGAGGCAGAACGTCGGTGTACATAAACACGTACGATGTGGCGGGTATAAAATATTCGATGATACAAAACCAACAAAATGGACAAACCAGCAACAAACTGTACTTCAGGAAGCTAGAAAAATGTCTTTCAGCCCAATTCAATTAATTGAATATCATTTATATACATTGTATCCTTCCTTCTATCTATCTATCTATCTATCTATCTATCTATCTATCTATCTATCTATCTATCTATCTATCTATCTATCTATCTCCATCTGTCTATCGTCAAAGTCAATTTTAACCTTGTATATATAAAATTAATTTACATCTCAGCATTAAAAAAAAGTAATTTCATCAGATGCACAGTGTGACTTATCAGAACTTATTAAACACCAATAAATCATCATGTAAAAAAAAAAGTCCCTGTCATTGAAGAAGATCTATACCTGTTATTATTTTACCCGTCATCTTTTAGATTTGCAATATATTAACAGAACCCTGAGAAAATTTCACAACAACGTGACATAAAAAAAAAGATCCTGCCAGGCGTAAGACACAAATAAAAAAAAAAAAAAAAAGAAAAATAAAATAAATTGTTAGACATCACAATGTTA